TTCCTTCTGAGTCTTTTCTCTCTCAATCTCTTGCACACAGTTTCATCTTTACTTGGTCTTTCCCATCTTTCCTTACATTCACACTCATTCTTTCCTCTTTCATACTCAGTCATTCACACTCTAAATATTCACTGTATCCACTTCTGTCATAAAGCTCTTATTTCCAATTAGTATACTCACTCACAATTGTTCTCCTAGCCTCTTCCCTCTTTGGAAGGTTGGGAATCTGTATGAAAATATCACGAGGATCAGGGGAACCCACCTACATTGCATTCAACAATTTCTGAAGGACTTGGACTTAGTGCCTAATAAAGCCTTCATAAAGAAAATGGAAGCTATGGGACTAAATGCGTCAAGTTTTGGATTGTATCGAGAATTTATATTCCAGTTCCAAGATCCATGTAAGGGTTCACAGTAGATCCCCGAGCCTATCCATCTTGAAAAAGCGGAGGGGGTAAGGCAAGGCCCAATATCACCCACCTTATTCAATATATTCAACAATGATATATTAGATGGCTTCAAGGGGGGGAAGAATTGGTGTCTATATTCCAGATATTCCTGACAGAATCTGCTTTTTCTGTTTGCAGACGTTATTGTGCTGCTGGACTCACCTGGAAATCTTAGGCGCTGCACTCACTCAGTCGCCTTGAACAGTGGAACAGTGGAACACGATTGGTGCCCCCAAATTGGAAATGCGGTTCTGCCCCGCTCAACAGAGGACCCCAGTTCTTGATTTTTATCGAAACTTGGGGTTGGGAGGACAACAACTTTTCCCTGCGCTGGCCTGACGGGACGGCACTGAGAAGAGGCGAATGACAAGACTATTCTTGTCTTTCTTCAAGAATAGCAAGGTCACAATAGGGACAGGGATTTTTCCACTCACCTCCGGTGAACCTTTCAGGCCAAAGCCCTAATGTATAGAATAGTTCCAGCTAAACAAGTGGTGGGAAACCTCTACAGACAGCGCTTTCAATGGCAATTTTTGTGGAATTAGCTAGTTAAACTCCAGCATTACCCCAATGCAAACTCTGGGGTCCAGAAGCCTTGGCTCTTGCTAGCCCTTGCTTATTAACTGTGTTTAGTTGGTTAGAATCGTGACGAATTTCCATATGCATCAGGTACCCAGCTGACCAAACAAAATGACTTGTAAATAAACACTGTACACTATATTTTCAGTTTTAATCCATGTTTTTCTCTATGAATTTTCTCTCATTTTCGTTTTAATAATAATCCTTACATTTTGCAAACATTGGGTATAAATATGACCAAACAGAAGCTATTGAATTGTGCCTCCTAAACTGCATACAATTCAAAGGAAACCCATCTCACCATTAACAAATTTACAAGCAGTCAGAAAGCCCAAACAAAGAACGAACCCTGACCCTGAATTGGACAATTTAGTTAGGCTTCCCACAGGGGACCCTATGTTCCGAACCATCAATCTCTATTCTTTCTGCTTCACCTGACTGACGTTATTGGCAATGTACAAGTAAAGTCCAATAATTCATATTCCACGTTCAAAATCTTTGAGCTCCCTTGAATGCCCAATTTCAACCATTGTAGTTTAAAATCTTTCATTTTGGTGAGTAAATGCAGCTGCTCTATCCCTCTCCCAATTGAGATAACATTCTATCAAATGTCATTGTGAACAGTGGCTCCACTTCTCTGGCACGTAATAATCAACAACCTTTGCTATCTCGAAGAGCCAGTTAATCAACCTATCTTTAGCCTTAATCAGCATGTTGACTGAGTCGATCTCAAAAACTATTCATCACCTCCGCTTACAAACCTAAAACTGTGTTCACTTATCTCTGGATTTTGACTGTTGTGTCATTTTAGTCTTACAAAAAAAACTTTACATAGTTAATTACATAGTTAATGAGAGAATGTATTTGGCACTACAAACCAGCTGACTGGATGGGCTTAGAAAATTCTTTGCTGGCCATTCCTGGATGGAAATGCTGGATATAGTCCACTGATCTTTCCATCTGCACCAGTGAAGCAGCCAGTGTTATTCTCCCCAGTATCATAGGAATTATACTTATCTTTTTCTATCTATTTCCCCCTAGTATAGGAATTATTCAGTCTCATCTTTTTTTTCCAAAGCTGCCTCTTAAATCTGTAACTACCCCACTGTTAACTACCTACTATGTCCTCTCTCCATTCTTATTACTTCAACAACGTTCCTCCTGTCCACACCCTGAATCTCTTCTGGGCAGCTCGATGGCTTCCCTCTTCTCCGACAGGCACCTGTTCCATTATGCTCAGTTGCACAAGCCTCTGGCTGCCACATCCTTTTCCACCAAACCTCCTTATGCCTTCTTGCTGGCCTCCATGCCCCCTGCACCCTCTGTCCTACCAGTAGTGGGCAAGCCGTCAGCCACTTTGCCTCCCCTATCTTTGGAACTCTCTCTAAATTCCTCTGCCTTGCACCCTCCTCATCCACTTTCAAAACCTTTCTGATTCTGACTGTTTCTTCTGCTCTCTTCTTCCTACCCTATTTGGGGCTGCAAATCTATCTCTGATAAGTGCTTTGAACTGTTTAACTATGGGAAAGGAACTATATAAAGTATAAGTTGCGTTGTTAGCCAATTCCAAAGAGTTTAGGTGCAGGTTGGGGACCACAACGTATGCATTAGTAGGAGATTAAACAGCTACAGTATTACAAAATACTGTTACGTTTTCCAATGCTTGTGTACCTAGGTCCATTCAACTAATTTGGGCTTTGGGTTAATAATAATAACCCTTGTATTTGAAATAGCGCTCTTCATGTCTTCCCGACGTCTCAAAGTGCTTCACAGAATGTACTGCAAAGTGAATCAACTGTATATTTTGTGGGAGAAACGCGGCAGCTAACTGCGCACAGCAGCGTCCCACAAACAATCGTGGACTGAGTGACCGAACTATTACCTTTTTTAGAGAATATTATCCCTGGAAAGGCGATCCGCCAATCGACTAACAACCGGATTCCTACTTACTACTAAGTAAATAGAGGAGTGTGGAGTAAAGAAACTTGCCCAACATTTCGCCCTGCTGGGAATGGAACCCAGGTCTCTCGCTTGCGAGGCAAGTGCTCTAACCACTGAGCTACAGGACTCCACAATAAAATGGAGTCACTGAGTGGAATAGGCACTGAGTGGAAGAAACGCTGCCAAAGAGTCAGGATGACTGGTCCATCATCTACAGAGATGAAAGAGAATGCTGATCTCTGTGACTCATGTTTCTCTTCTAATAACCTTGACAAAGAACCTTACTATATTGGTCCATTTTATTCAGACATTATAATGGTGGTTGTTTTTACCCTGACAACATAGAATCATAGAATTATACAGCACAGAAGGAGGCCATTCGTGTCAGCTCTTTGAAAAGAGCTATCCAAATCAATCCCACTCACCCGTCCCCTCCCCATAGCCCTGCAAACTTGTCCTCCCAAAATAATTATCTAGAATATGTAGAAACCAATGTGGAAATAGACATGGGACAGTGAGATTCAAGCAAAAAATGCAAGCATGCAAAAGTAAATGGGCCCAGTAACCTTGTAATCATGCAGATCTCTTTATGCATGGGAGTAAAACAATCAAATACACAGTCACTCCATTTCACAGTAAATCCTGTCCTCCCGATGTGAAAGCCCCTTTCCCAAATTCAAGGAGTATTACTACAATCTATCATTAGAGTTAGAGAGAGAGAGAGAATTAGAGAGAAAAAGAGAAAGAGGAAGAGAGACAGAAACAGGTTGAAAGTTACAAAGATTCAATGTTGGAGAGGAAAGAGAAAGAAAGAAAATGATTAAAAAAAACATATTATTCCTGACCATAAATCCTGATAGAATTGTTTTACTCAGCATTGCAGACAGTTTATATTTGACCAATTGTACGCACGGTTTGTTAATCCACAATCAGGTCAGTCCCAAACAGTACAGATAATTGTCTCATTGCTGCAGTTTTAAAATTTACAATTGTCCAGTATTATAGAAATGTTTAAATTCAGCTTTAATTTGGAAGACAGTTTTCTATTCTTGAGGGGAAATCCAAATTATGACTAAATTGTTCAAAACATTCCACACCATCTTAAATTTAAAGACAGTGGTAAGACCTATAATGAGAGATCATGGGTTATCTACATTTGCAGCTAAAATCATGTTTGCAGTTACACAAAGGTTAAACAAAGCACTGGTACCAACCTACGTCCTTTAGGGCTGTCAAGAAGTGCCCCCCACCCCCAAAACATTTGGATGAGTCTAGGTAAGTCCACGTTCGATCAGTAGTGTGCTTTCAATTTTTTCTTGATTGAATATTTTGATTTATCATATAAATCAAGAAATGTTCAATCAAGAAAATGTATTTTGTTGGCTGACCATAAAAGTTGGCCATCGCTGGTTTCAAGAATTTCACTCACAGCACAAATTTTGTTATTCAACGTGCCAAATTGATCTTCGCAGCCAGCTCTACCATTGTTAAAAATACACAGAATATGGTGCAAAATGCAAACACAAGGAATAACTACGATAGGAAAAAATTCAACAGCAATTTGGATTTAAGAGGCCTTTATTTTAATCAGGGCAGCGTATATCACTGTTTGCTAGCTATCCTTTAGGGTTTCATTGCACAATATTCTTCCCCAAGTTACTTCAAGCTTCTGCAGTTTTATTAATGTGCAGTTTATCCCAGAACATTCGAAGGAAAGAACTTTCAACAGAAAACTGTACAATACAAAAAAACTTCACGTTTGCTATTCAAGTATACTACCAAATGTACTGACTAAAGCAGGACTGAAAAACTAAAACTATGCAAATGCAATAGGGAATTTAGTCTGGATATAGAAAGTAAGACTGAGAATTTATGATTGCTCAGTAATCACACAGCTAATTTGTTTCAAGAATAAACCTAGAAACATCAGTAGGGATTTAGTCAGAAACTGAAACACCAGCCTTTAGTCATTGACGAACAGAAGACATGGGCGTAATGTTAATTACTGTAAGTGGGTACTGCAAGACTTACCTTTCAGCCGTTCCAGCAGATCAATCTGTCCAGCAGAAGCCAAAGCCAGAGCCTCGTCCTCAATGCTACCCTGCAGCTGCTTCAGGACCTCCTGCAGCACGAAGTGAAGCATAATCAGAAAGGCTAGAATCATACTGAAACACGTTGTACAAGAGACACGCTGCACACCACCCAGCAGCTGATAACTGAAAACAACACCGCTGAGAGCATCAGAAATATTTGGTCCTGACCTGTTTCATACGCCATTTCAAATGAAAGGCAAAGAAAGTTAGATGTGGCCTAACTATTCGCACATCTGCAATAGCCCAGCACTTTAACAATGATCTGTCCTCCTTCACTACATATCTGGTGCTCTTTGCATACAAATCTAATATGTGCCTACGTGGCTAGCACTCCTTAGTTCTACAGTAGAAATGCTCAATTGTATTTTAAAACATTTCTATTCCACAAGGTGCCCCCTACAAGTAACAGATCTTCCACAAAAGGCACACCCAGCTGACAGAGGCACTACATTAGCATTGATTTACACAGATTAACAACATGCAAGCCTAAAGAGGAGGAGCTGTCCTGGTCCATTATCTTCCCAGTACATTGGTTAAATAAAGCTGCAATTATACAACATTTTCAGAGTCACCTTGGTAAATGCCAAAAACGCTTTATACTGGTATCGTTCCTCCTCCCACAGGAAAGCATCAGCCAACAAATCCAGAGCACAGGCGCAATGTCTCAGCTTCCCCCTGACTGTTCAACACGCCCTGCACAAACTGGCTGGTGCTAACATGCTTCCTGCAGTATTGACTTACATTCCTAGTCAATTCAACATCAAGGCTTATAACGTAGTTATGACAAGACTTTTCATTACAACAATGCAGGCAATCCTGTACTTTATTTTAGAACTACAGTATATGAAAGAACTCAAATTGCTTTTGAATGACAATGAGTGAGAAACCATGAAATTTGTGAAGCTAATGAAATAGTTACAGCATAGGAATTCCTGACATCATATTTGTGAACCACATCTGGAAAAAAAGTCGATCATTGATGGACCAGACTGCAGTATAGTCTAGTGCTGTTCCCATTCGTGTCCCAAATTTCTTTTGAGATTCTTGATCACCTTGGACTCTGAAATGCTCTACACTGTCCAGCACCTTGGGACGTCCTCCCAACGTGAAAGGAGCTATACAAATGTAATCTTGTTGTTCTCTGTCTACTAGTTAAAATGATGCAAAATCTTCCATAACCCCTATATACTTTCAGCAATTTGCATTTTAAGTAAGTTTACAGAAATGAAAATAACTAGATTATTAAGTGAATATTTATTTTAATGGAATGACCTGCCAGTACAAACCTTATGTAAACTTCTCTTTTTGATACACATATGCAAGCGAAATGGATCAAAGATCCAAACTTATTAAATGGAAAACCTCAAATTAAAGTGTTTTTTTAAATAAAAAAACAGCCACATCTTATGCCACTGCTAGAAATAAAGACAGCACTAAATTTAAAGCTAAAGCAGGCAACAGTGCTTGTGGATTGCTCAGTTCTGCTAATTCAGCATTCTTACTCCTAACAGCAGGTTTGGCTTTGTAATTACCAATTGAGAACGGGGTAAAAGACCAGAAAATGGCAGCAACCTTGTTTCTTCATGTAAGTAACCCCTCAAACATTTTCTTTCTTAATAGTCCAAGGCAGCTGCTCTGTCAAGGAACTGTAACTCTTCCAGCTGCACAGGAAAGAAACTACAGTGCATGCTCATTAGCCTGTATCATTGGAAATCCAATAGACCTATAATTTTTCACTAGGAAATGTTTTGTTAATCTTAAAACAGTAAGACTGGAGGAAATGGACACAAAAATACTGTGAAGAGAAATTATGCATTTTGTAAGTGCTGAATATCTTAAGTCGCCTACTCCATACACTTGGCTGTTTTAACTATTTATGGGGCAGGCACTCTTCACAATTCTTTAAAAAAAACTGTCTTACATAGAATATACAGCCATTCACCCAACTGGTCTATGCCAGCATTTATGCTCCACATGAGTCTCCTCCTGCCCTTCCTCAACTAGGCCTATCAGCATACCCTTCTATTCCTTTCTCCCTCATGTACTTACCTAGCTTCCCCTTAAATACATCTATGCTATGCACCTCAACTACTCCTTCCACATTCCCAGCACTCTCTGGGTAAAGAAGTTTCTTCTGACTTCCCTATTTGATTTATTGGTGACTATTTTATATTTATGGCCTCTTCATTTGCTAGTTATTACTCTTTATTTGCTAGTTATTATTTTTAAAGAAGCCTGTGGAAAACATGCAACTCCAAGATACTAAAAGCATTTAAAAGAGACAAGGAAACCAAATAACATTTTCAGTGGAAAGCGCTTGGGGCTTTGGTTTTGAAATGCTTCAAGACCAGAGGCTTCAAGCCACAAGTTGATAGATATTTCCAAACAACATGTCCATCATTCATTGAACGTGATCAGACAATGTACGGATGTCAAGAAAACAGCCTTCAGCTCCCCTCTCGACTCTCTTCCCCCCTGCTTGGGTCATGACCCAACTGTGCAGCGCCTTGGGACATCCTCCTGACGTGAAAGGCGCTTTATAAATGGAATCTTGTTGTTGTTGTTGTTTGTTACTGACGTTGTAGACTAACTATACAGCCAACCATGGCAATTAGTGTGCACGTTTTATGAATATTTCCCTCATCGAATGTCAGTGAGATACGCCAACACTGATATAATGTTGGTATGATGTACTATGCAAAGAATCACTTCAAAACCCTTTCCACAAGTAAAGAAATATCAATGAGGGATATGTGAAGAAATAAATTACCTAGAATCACAGAAACTAAAGCACTGAAACAACAACAAGATTACATTTGTATAGTGCCTTTCACGTTGGGAGGACGTCCCAAGGCACTGGACAGTGTACAGCATTTCAGACCCGAGCTGGGATCAGGGGGGGAGAAGGGAGGGGAGGGAAAGGGGGGTGGTCGATGGCATGGTCGAAGAGGAAGGTCTTGAGGTGGGACTTGAAGGAGGCTAAGGAGAGGGCGAGGCGGAGTGACTGGGGGATGGAATTCCAGAGGTTGGGGGCAGAGTGGCTGAAGGCTCTCCCGCCAATGGTGGGGCAGGTGGGTCAGGCTCGACTATGCAAACTCCCTACTTGTCGGCCTCCCCAACTCCTCCCTCCATAGGTTTCAGATCATCCAGAACTCTGCAGCCCATGTCCTTATCCCGCACCAGGCTCCACGACCCTATCACCACCATCCTCGCCTGACTCCAATGGCTTGCCATCACACAGAGGATACAGTTCAAGATCCTGGTCCTCACCTTCAAAGTCCTCCATGGCCTTGCTCCCCCCTACCTCTGCAACCTTCTAACCCTGTACCAATCTTCCCGCTCGATCCACTCAGCGGACTCCAGCCTGCTTCACGTCCCCCTCCGCTCCCGGCCCACCATTGGCAGGCAGGCCTTCAGCCACTCTACCCCCACCCTCTTGAACTCCATCCTGGAGTCTCTCCCCCTTGTACCCTCCCTTGTCTCTTTCAAGACCTATCTCAAGACCCTCCTCTTCAACCGTGCCTTCGTTCACCCTCCTTCCTTCCACCCTCCCGACGTGAAAGGCGCTATACAAATGTCATTTTGTTGTTGTTAATAACATTTAAAAAGACCTAAAGAGAAGCCTTTAAAGTGGAATATCCTTGATTTTTCTTCTTAATTATTTTAGGACAATAACTCACTATTTTTAAAATGAAGAAGTAAAGTACTTGATGGACTTCGTAATCAGAGATACAATTTTTCACATTTAATATATGCTGAGAATGGACTCAATCAGACAGTGTTCTCAGCTACTCAATGCTCAATATTTTGCATGGAACATCTCTCAGCCTCTCTTAATATCGAAATTTTACTTTCCTGTAAAACCCTGATTATATAACTTGCCCCTGGACTCAGGTATTGGTCCATCACCTGATTCGATCTCAGCTTCCTCCCTGCTAATATCCCCAACTAATTTACAGTGACAACAATTTAAGTATATTGAAATTTACTCACCACACTGCTTTTCTACTAGTCATTTGCTAACTTACTATGCACATGTTTGAAAGCATTTCCCTCCTGGAGTAATGCCAGTCAATCATTAGTAGTTTAATGTGAGCTGAGTGCTCGATGTATCCCAGATACAACATTACTTATTGTTACAAAAGAATGTTTGGTAGGAAGTTGAATGTCATGCCGGTGTTTATTCTTTCCTTTTCCTCTTCCTCCTCTGTTTTTTTCTACGTCTCTAAATATGTTTCCATTTCCTTGAAATCTAGTCGTGTGTACACTGACAACATGATGATGGTGCTACAGGTTTTCTGCAGTTTCAAAATGTATTAAATCTTTATATTCATTTAAGTGATTTGTTCTTAAAAGGATTTGATACATTTACTTTTTAAAAATAAACCAGTTGCTGGTAAAAACTATGGCTACTGACATCATGGCCTTAACTGAATCCTGGTTCACCCCAAGCAACACCTTCCCCCTCACGGAGGCCACACCACCCGGCTACACCTCCCACCACATCCCTCGCCCCAACCGCCGTGGCGGTGGTGTAGCCCTTATCTCAACGACACCACTTGCCCTATCCCCCTACTCCTCTGGCTTTTCCCCTCTTTTGAGCACCTCACCCTCTCCCACCCCTCCCATCTCTCACTCAAAATCCTCCTCCTCTACCGGCCCCCTAAAACCTCTCCCACCTTCATCTCTGACATTTCTACCCTCCTAACATCTCTCTGCCTCTGCTCTGATCGCCACATCATCCTGGGCGACTTCAACCTGCACTTCACCCCCTCCTGCTCCACCTCCTCGGACTTTTCCTCCCTCCTCTCCTCGCTCAACCTCTCCCTCCACATCAACTCCACCACTTACATTCATGGCCACCCACTCGATTTGGTGATCACTCGGGGCCTCAGTGTCTCGGATGTCACCATTACCGATAAGGCCATCTCCGCTCACCACTTCATCTCCTTCATCACCTCCATCCCCCTCCCCACCTCCACCAGACCTACCACCATCTTCTACTGCCCCTGGAAGAAGTTACCCCACA